ACAAACACACTTACTATATATGTACATATGTACATACGATGTGTTATTTAAACAGTTACGAGGCATTAATTTTGTTAAATGTTACTAACGCCTTCCTTTTTATAACCTAATCAAAACCACTTCACTGCAAATATGCCAAAAACAACTGTTAGCAATACATATTTACTTACAAATATCTACAACTCATGTTTGTTTATTTGTTTCAGCAACGAAATAAATAAAAAAATAACAAATCAAGTCAAGTCAATGCGCCGCAGAGATACCAGAGAACTTACGGTGCAAAGTTTAAGTGGCCAAAACATATGCACGTACTCGTACATACATTGACATGCAGACATTTAGATCACATGTACTCGTATATAATTTAAATAAATAAAAACATTTTATGGTAAAGTACTTTTTGGAATATTTTTTTTTTTTTTTTGGTTGCGAAAAGTCAATTTGACGGGAAATGATGCTTGAAGTGGTGAAAATTAATTTATATTAGAGGAGAAGATATGTGCATACATATGTATGTATGTATGTATGTAAAAATACCACCAATTCCACCAGTAAAAACATAAATCTCATAAAATTTGTATTTAATTTATGGCCAGCATTTAGTAAGTGATTAAATTTTATTACGATCTTTTTCCATTTCGGTGCCAAAGTTGTGATTTAACTGTAAATAAAGTGCGAATAAATATGTCTAGAGTGAGTTGATATAGTACAAACCTTTACGGCGGAAACACTCAGCATTTTTTCGTCTAGTTTGATATTATTTTTTATGACTTTTTCATCTTGGAAAGCCCCTACGATAAATAGCCTATCTTCTCTTTGTCGAAACACTTCTCATCGTCTAGCAATTGACGTGACTTAATTATGGCACGAGTGTTAACTACAATAAGGTTTTGTATATAATTTATTTATATATACATATATCTATATATATATATTGTACTTGTCAATATAAATTTGCAACAAATATAAATAATCGCACATCAAAGAATTTTAATTAAAAATATAACATAAATTACTATAAAATTTATCTTATCTTTAATGTGTTTGTATAGATGTACAATATATTGACAAGGCTCTTTGACCGATTTCGAGACGGTACACTTTCTAAAAGTAATGCCCATAATTTTAGTAAATTTTCAAATTTTCTGTAAGAAAATAAATAAAAATTAATATAAAGTAAAATAGCAATAAACCAAATTATATTAACAATTTAATTAAAATAAAATAATATAAAAGAAAATAAAATGGAATAGAATAAAATGAAATAAAACAAAAAATAAGTTCATATAAAATAAAAAAATATATAAAAAAATAAATTAAACTGAAATAAAATAAAAAAGAATAGAATAAAATAAAATAAGATAAAATAAAATAAAATAATATAAAATAAAACGAAATAAACTAAAATTAAATAAAATAAAATAAAGTAAAGAAAAAATAAATAAAATGCAGTAAACAAAAAAAAAATGAAAATAAAAAAATTATATAAAATAAAATCAAAGTAAATAAAAATAAAATAAAATAAATTTTTCTTTTTATCATTGCTTAACTAAAAAGTGAATTTTTTAAAATGCTTCAATTATATATATATTTATCTTACTAAATACTAGTGGTTCAAGAATGCCAAGTGTGTGGTGCAGAAGTACTTTTGGAGTATCGGTCAATATTTGAGAATAAATCTAAGATTCTTATAACAGTAAATTGCTTATAGTAGAAATCTATTATCTCCAAGTGCACCGACGGTGTAATAAATATATGTGTATTTTAATAAAACTGAGTGTTATTGAATTTCGTAGTATATAGTGCAAGGAGACAGTAAAATGTAAAAAATTGGAGCATAAAAACTGTTTGAGCTTTACACTGTTTGCCAAAAAAGTAGAACAATATGTGTATGTTTTTAAAATATAACTAAAATTATAAAATTTTTTTTAAATATAATATAAATATTTTTCAAGAGATAATACATTTTAATATCAGAATGACATGCATTAATTATTATTTTTGTTCCAATCTCATAATCACTCGTTCCTTGTGTGATCATTTTGTATCTTGCACCATTCATTTCGTTTCTTTAATTTATCTTTTAAGCAATATTAGTATATATATAAATACATACATATTTTATTCAATATATATGGGAGAGTTTATTCAAATAAAAAATCGATTTCACAAAATTCATCATAATTTAAATATATTTAATTTAAGTATATAAATAATATTTTTGTGATAAGAAAAGTTCTGCATAATTATATTATATTATTATTATATTATTTTCAGCTAATTTGCATTAGACATTATCTAAACCAAAAAAAACAAAATATATATATAAAAAATGTGGCACACGCCTTGCACTACTTATCGCCCATCATTGCGTACATACATACATATGCATATGTATATTTATCGCCATAATTTCATTGCAATGGAGAAATTTCAGGGAAACACCTTGGCATGGCATTAAATGGGCTTGCATGCCATATCATATACATATATACATGTCTGTGCGTATGTACATACATATGCGCGTGTGAGGGGGGTAGGCTATTGTCTACCAGCGTAACATGGGGGTAATGACGTATTTGTGACACACTTGCAGCAAAGAAATTGATGTTGATAAATAAAAAATATAAATTACTTAGACAAATTTACTTGAAATTATTTGCCAAACCTGGAAGTTGCAGTGGTAGAATTTTTTTTACTCAATATATATAAATTAATTGTGACGAAGTCATTCCTGATTTGAGTTTTCAGCTAAAAAACTACTTTCAGAGCAGGTTTTCTATCGTATTTACTTTCAAAAAATTTACCTAAGAATAAAAAATTGCTGAGATTTATGATATAAATTGAATTTAAATTTTTATATATGTATGTACATACATATTTTTATATTGTATTAATATTTTTCGCACACTTACTGATATCACACAAAAATTATCGTTCATTAGCGTCATTCTCAAATACAAATGTCCTGGTATATAATAAATGCATGCGCAAAAATGCTGAACAGTTGCATTTTTTATTTTTTGGTTCCATTTTTCATTACTAATTTCATTTTCAAACACCTCTTTAGCAGTATTTTTCTGCCATAGCGAAATATTTTTGAAATTTTTCTATTATTTTGTTGTTGTTGCTTGTTTGCTAATAAAGTTAGAAATTTATACTTTTCGTGCAAACATCGACAATTTTGTCATACCGTGTATGCATATGTATGTAAACCCTTAGGTGTCTAATAATAATTAAATTCGCCAGTGATTGGGGAATGTCGCATACACAGTTGGGCAAAGGGGGGGTGGGGGAACTTTAATGCAAAAATCAATAAAAATTACAGAGAAAGGTTTCCAGTGAAAAAATTAAAATGAGTCAGAAACAAAAAGAAATTAAAAAAAAATAAATTAGTAAGAAAAATGTAAAGCCCAAAAAATTAATTAAGTTATGATATTTAAATAGAAAGCACCACGCTATTAACAAAATATTAAGCATAGGGAATGCATACACACATACCCACGATACATATGCCTGGGTCAGCAATCATAACGAATTATGTCTGGCGTCTACGTTCCTAATGCGGCATATTGAATTGGCCTGTCAATATTAAGGCATTTATCAACATAAATGATTGCATATAATATACATACATATGTGCATATGTATGTAAAAGTCCAGCTAAATACATAAGTATATAAATTGAAAATTAATTAATCACAAAAGACATAGGCAAATTAATTAGATAATCAGAGAATTCAAGGAATTCGACAAACTTAAATACAAACATACATACATGTAGGCAAATATATATACTCGTAGATATTCGATTAGTGCGACAACATTGGGTCGGGCAGGAACAGGTAACAAGAAAACATAAAAAAAATGAAAATTTCCTCCATATTTTTCCACTTCGCAGACAATCACGAGTTTAACGTCAAAATGTCATTAAATGACTTAACTATTTAGTTGCCAATTTGTGTCTGGAAAAATTCAAAAATTCACTTTACGTCCAATCAGCCATAAATACCGAAGCAAACAAGCCCCTTTCCGCAGAAAAAAGGAAATGCGTAAAAGTACACCGAGCCCAACGAAAAAAAAATTATTGAAAAATTATAATATTCGTGGAAAAACAAAATTGAGTAAAAGTAAAAAAGATTAATAAAATTATAAAAAGACAGAAGAAGTAAATAAAAATATAACTCGCAAGTTCACCTGGCACTCGGCGTGAACGTGAATAGCACGTGCGTGGCGAATATCTATTCCGCGACTCCAATAAGTTATCATAACAAAAACTATAAAAACAAGCAAAGCAGTTTTACTATACAATGATAAAAAGTTTTGTCCACGCTAAAGCAAAAGCCATAGGTAATCAGAGCGCAACAATCAGCGATATTTGTGGGGCGTTGCTTTGGTAGAATGATATAAAATGGAAAAAAAAAAACAATTTAAGTAATAAAAAAATTAAAATACAATAAAGTACAATAAAACTAAATAAAATAAAATATATTTAATTAAAATAAGATAAAATAAAAAACTAAAATAAAATAATAAATATTTAAAAAATATATAATAAAATAAAAAAATTTAATATTGAAATAAAAATTGTCAGAAAAACATATGTATGTGTGCTAAAAATGCCAAATGATACTCCAAAGTTAGTTTAAAACAATTAAAAAATGGCAGTAGTGCTCTAAGAAGGCATGCTTAAATACACTCACACATGCTTAGGCTAAAAAAATGCTATTTACAATTACAATCGTCAAGCGGAGTGGACCACCAGACCCATCAAATGCTTGCTGTGCTTATCTGATAAACATTTTTGTATTCATCGCAATGTGTATGTGTGTTTGTGTATACCGAATGCCATATGCCGTATGTCTGCCCTCTCTCACTCACGCTAATAATGTGTATTTGTGATATCAAATGAATTCTTCTTTTTTTTTTGTATAGTTATTTATTAATGTGTACTTGCAATTAAAATGATTGTTGTTGTTGCTGTTACTTTTTGTTTCTATTCTAGGGGTGTTCCTCAACGCCCTCTCAACACCTTAACACCTTTCGCAACGCTGCGAGTACACATTTCGTCCGTCTACAATCGAGTAATCGCACATACTACACGTGCATACATACTTATATACATACATACATAAAGACATTTGTACAATATTTGCCAATTAGGCACTTACTTCAAATCGTTGAATTTAGTGCGATTTCGGCACTCGCGCCCTACGTATCTTCACACGCGCTCAGTGAAACGCGTCAATGTGAAAAGAAAAGAAAAAAAAACCAAAAACCGTTTAACGTTCATTTTTTCGTCCGTGTTTAGCGGTCGATGGCTAAAGTTAGTCGCTAAGTTGTTCGCTTTGACGTTTTTACAATGTTTTGACGATTAACGTCAATTTATATGCTGAAAGCCTACTAATAAAAGAATTTGGTGCTGATAAAAAATGTTGATTTTTTCCATGGGAAAAATTGTGATCCGCACTTTGCTGCCGTTCGTGATTGATTTGTGATATTTTTCTTGTGATTGTGACTGTGAAATTATTCCTTTCGTGTGCTCCGAGCCGCCTGATAAGGTTGATTTACTATATGAGCACAGATGCAATATAATGATTGTGATCTTAATTGCGATTTTTGCATTGACAATGAGCATGACTTGTGCAACCATAATTCCACTTTACAATTGGACGCTTAAGAGCTTATGAGCTTTGATTTAATGTGCGATTTGTTGAGGTTCTCCCGATAGCGGAGCCAGAGAGAAAAAAGCAACGGTCAGGACTAGCACTGATCATATGCGAGGAATACGGATTTTAAGGCAAAGAATGTAAGTAAGTGAAAGAGTGAAAGAAAATACGGGTATATGAAAATAGAAGTATAAAACCAAAGTAAAATAAGATAAAATGAAATCAAATAAAATAAAAAAATAAATTATTTTAATTTAAGAGCATAATAAAACAATAAAATTCAATAAAATAAAAATAAAACAAAATAAAGTAAGATAAGTTGAGATAAAATAAAATAGGCTACAATTAAGTTAAATTGGTTAAATTGATCAAATTAAATAAAACAAACTAAATAAAATAAGATAAAAAAATTAAAATATGGTAAAAAAATTATCGAAAAACTAAATTATATAAATAATTAATAAACGAATAATGTAAGTTAAACAAAATAAAATATACAAATAAAATAAAATATATAAATAAAACAAGTTATATAAATAAAATAAAATAAAATAAAACAAAATAAAAAAGAATAAAATAAAATAAAATAAAATAAATTAAAATAAAATAAAATAAAATAAAATAAAATAAAATAAAATAAAATAAAATAAAATAAAATAAAATAAATTAAAATAAAATAATATGAAATGAAATAAAATAAAATAAAATAAAATAAAATAAAATATAATAAAATAAAGTAAAATAAAATAAAATAAAATAAATAAAATAAATAAAATAAAATAAAATAAAATAAAATAAAATAAAATAAAATGCTATAAATAATAAAAATTAAAATAAAATAAGATAATAAAATAAAATAAAACAAATTAAAATAAAATAAAATAAAATAGAATAGAATAAAAAAAATAAAATAAATTATTTTAAAAATAGTATAAAAAAAAACTATCTAAATAAAAAAAAAAATAAAAACCAATAAAACAAAATGAGAGATAGCAAAGGAAGTTCAGTATAAATAAAGTTAAATAAAAAGTATGCTTAATTGACACAGCGCTTTTATTATCGACCGGCGATAAAAAGCACAAGGAATACTGGTGGTTTGTTAAAGGAAAAGATTATAAAATATGCATAAATTTTTATCTAAAATTGTTACCTGCTCGTGCTGGTTCAAGGTGGAGGAAATAAGGGTAGTAAATAAAGATTTGATAAAAAAAAATGCTCTTTTCACAAATAATTGCTGCCGAGTAGCTCAGAAAGTTTAGCAGTTTAGAATGAATTTTGAATTGGGATTATAAAATTTTTACTCTCTCCTAACAAATAAGTGATATTCCACTATTTGTACGTATATTGAAAAGATTACATGATCTAACAACATTACAACACACAAACACTTTAAAAGCAAAGCAAACTACTTTACCTGCAACGCTGTGAATTCACTGTTATAACATTTACATAACTTTAGCTTCCGCGAAATGTTTTTTTCCTCGAAAGCAAAAACAAAACATACCAACAACCTTTTGAATTTAAATATTTGCATAAATATTACATAACAGCGTAACGCATGCGTGATATGAATAAGTTCACTTACCGTAATGAGTTGTCTAAATACGGAATACAAACTGACAACTCGTTGTAACTTATTGTTTGACAAATTTGCACTTTGGTCCATTATATGATATATAATATAACAGTTAAACAGCATTGAAGAGGCGTGAATTTTCCAGATTTCTATTTATTAAGATTTTCAATGTGAAAAAAGTGCATACACTTTCAAAGCCTCGACGCGCCTCTTTGCGCATATTGTTTTGATACATTTCAAGAGGGGTGTCCTACATATATACATACATACATATATCTATGCATACATATGCGCATATGCACATACCAAGTGTCCTACCCCTGCAGAAGGAAACGTAGGGTGTTTTACGTCAAACCGCATTCATTTGGCGAGGAAAAGTGCACAACTTGCACTTAATACAAGTGTGCAATAGTAGTGCAGGCGTTGTTGTAGAATATTGTTGTAAAAGGTAAGTAAAAAAACAGTGAAATTACAAGAACGGTTAAATATATATGGCAACAATGCAAACAATAAAGAGCATGTTTTTGTGGCGAGTAGGGTGAGTTGTAGGAGAGAAAAATGTACACAAAAACAAGAACACATGAGCCCACCTTTTAGAGAACAAAAGCAACCCTTAAGCACAAAATAAAAATTATTGCAAATAAATAAAGTGCAAATTATATGTAGTTCAACTACACATACTATTTTAATGCGCACAAAAGGTGTAAAAGTAAAAAAAGTAACAAAAAGTGCAAACTTTTTTCACAATTTTTTATCACACTCTATTTCAATTCGCACTAGAATGCATGCAGAGGTGCTTAAGCATCAGCTTGTAAGTGTAAAAAATTACACTAAGCATTCTAGCACCTTATTTTAGTGGTGCCAGCAAAAAAAAAAGAAAATGCAGTGTTGGCAGAGGAAATGTTGTGAATGACAATTCTACCCTCTCTTATATGAAAAAGGCTGCGAAAAAAGTGCATTATTTTATATAAAAAAATAACCACCCACTTTTGGTCTTTTGGCGAGTGCAAAAAAAAAAAATAAATGCAACACGAAAAATATAATAAAAGTGTTATAGTGTGTCACTTGGCCGTTAAGCAGTTAATGAAAGAACAAATGAGGGGTAGGCGGTAGAGGAAGCGTAAAACATATTCTTTTCGTTACGGCAAATCTTTTTATTCCACTTATTACTGTTACTACCACTGCATGCGGAAATGTAAATTAAGTGCGTCTTGTGTGAACAGCCAGCGAATCACCAAAAACTACTATGTAAGCAACGTGTGAATTTGTACAGCGCAGCGAGTGCCGGCTGACATAAAACACTCCGCGCTGTCAATCGCCCTTCGCTTTGTAGACTTTCGGCAGTAGCTTAAAGTGAAAGTGCAATCGAGCGGAGTTTCGGTTGCTTCAGCAGCATTAAATTCATTTCGCTATGCAACCCTTGGCTTGTTGCAACGTTTTTTCAACAGTGGCGCATAAACAATTAATATCCGATTACATGTTTTATAAGCAGCAAAGGGGTTTTCGAAAACCGTGTGGATTTTTCTATTTCTATCCGCTTTAGCAGGACCCCACCCAATTATACTTTTCTTTTTTTTTTGTAACCTTACTAATGCTTTTCTTTTCGTAGCAGCGAACTTTCTATCACAACACACTTTTCGCTGGTACTGTAACGAATTTCGTATGTTTTTCTGATAATCAATTTTTGTGGCAGCGCATTAATTATGCTGTTTTCGGTGGTTTAAGAGCGAGTTTCAAGAAGAGTAGAGAGAGAGGGGTGTTTGGGATTTCTTGTAGCATTAATCATTTGGCTTGTTAGTAAGTTTTTCACTTTAATTTTTTTTGTTATTTTAATTTTAACATTCGTTGAATTTAAGCCTTTAAAAATTTTTTTATCTCTTTTTAAAAATCCCTAAAAACTCATGTTGCACGTGTCATCAATCAATATCCTTTTTTTTTTTTTGAGTGACGATTGTTTATTAGCAACAAAATTGCTTATCGATTGAAATTTCATTGGATTTGAGTATGTGCCACAGGGGTGATTGAAATAAAAAAGAAAACATAGGGAGAAGTATTGGGTTGAGGAAAGATGGCGTGAAAAGTATTGAATTTTGTGGTCTACAATAGATAAGCAGATTTGTGGTGGGGAAAGGGTTGATCGAGCGTGAGTGAAGCTCTTAAAATTATAAAAAAAAATTAAAATGATTAATTTAGTAAAAAAAAACTATTAGTTAAAAAAAGTAAAAATTATAATTTATTAAAAAATAACAAATAATAGTAATAAAAATAATAGTTTAATAAATTAAAATAGCCAAAAAGGAAAAAGTTGCGTAAAAAATATATTCAAATTTAATTTAAAAATTAATAAATTTAAAAAAGATTTAACTAATTGAATAAGTTTCAATTTCAGCACCATTACAAAGTGAAATATTAAAGAAAATAACGTTTGCTTTTATTAATCTATTAGTTAGTTTTTTGAATTTCAGACTTTAAAAGAAAAATTTAAAGATTAATTAACCAAAAAAAAGTATGCTTGCGTTTACTAAATATTTTTTTTTTTTATTTCACAAAGAAATATTAGCTTGTTGGTATCGCCACTCTTTTTTCTCCTCTTTTGATTTTCACACATTTTAGGTCATTCAACTGTTAAATTAGCGACATTCAGTGCTGCAGTGCTTGAAACAAAAGTCAACAACAGTAAAAATGTGACAAATTGAAGAGTAAAAGGAGCGTAAAATCGCAACTTCTATGACAAATATTGACACTTGACGGCGATGTTTGCAAGCGTTGCACAACAGACAAACAGACAGACAGATGGATAGATAGACAGAAAGAAACAGGCTGTTGAGGGTGAAAATGTGTGCAAATGTCACATTTAACGAGAAAAATACGTACACAAATGGTTATGTAAAATCGAGTGTGAGAGGGAAAGGACAATGCCAAATCATAATAAAGTAGGAAAAAATAAGCAAAAAATATAGAGAAGAGAAAATAGCTGAAAAGAAAGAAAAAACAAAAAGAGAAAAAAAAGATATATAGAAAAAATAAAAATAATGAAAAAACAGAAAATAAAAACAAGATAAAATGTTATAGAGAGCAGAAAATATGAACTAATTCAAAACTAAACTAATATGCGAAAAATAAAATATTTTATTGAAAAACAACACCAAATATTTTTATGCAGCGGTTAATATTAAATAACAAAAAAAAACAACAAATCGACTCATTGACTGCCTAGCTGCTGTTCCTTTACTCTCACTCTGTCTCTCTCCAGCAACAAATCTATACGCCAACTGCAGTTAGCTTTTTATCTAACGAATTTGCTGACTTTAAACAACTCTTATATATCCTGTGTGCTTCTTTTCATTATTGTTGATTAACTTCCGATTGTTATTTGCTTTCTGTTCGCTAAACTGCTCGCCTGGTATAGCCTGGTATAAGACTCCCTTGTGACTACTAACACTCCACTCTTGAATATTATATGTAAAGGACAGAATGTTTCTGTTTTTATAGAAATTTATGTGCATATCCTTGTTTGCGAAACCCTCAAATGCCCACATGTGTATTTATTTGTGGTAATCTTCA